TCTTTTTGAGACAGGATCTTCCTGTAGTCACAGCCAGCCTGAAACTCATTGTGTAGACCAAGCTGTCCTCAATCTCACAGCTTGGCCTGCTTCTGCCTTCCAAGTGCTGGAGTTATGGATGGTTGTTAACCACCATGTGGGTGCTGGGAATCAAACTCGGATCCTCTGCAAGAGCAGCCAGTGCTCTTAACCCTTGAACCATCTCGCCAGCCCCTCCCTAATAGAAAGTTTTGAGAGGAGTAATTAGAATAGGAGATTTATTAATTTCTTACTCTTTTTCCAGTGTTTTGGAATGCAGGTTCTCAAAGTATTCCCTAATGATCCTCTGGATTTCATTAAAATCTGATATGGCATGTCTCCTTTTCATCTTTTTTTTTTTGGTCTTTTTGAGACAGGATCTTCCTGTAGTCACAGCCAGCCTGAAACTCATTGTGTAGACCAAGCTGTCCTCAATCTCACAGCTTGGCCTGCTTCTGCCTTCCAAGTGCTGGAGTTATGGATGGTTGTTAACCACCATGTGGGTGCTGGGAATCAAACTCGGATCCTCTGCAAGAGCAGCCAGTGCTCTTAACCCTTGAACCACCTCTTCAGGTCCTGTTTCTTTTTTTTAGCAAAATCAATGAATCTTATTGCCTCTATCTGCCTATATCCTTCCTCCTCATCTTTTTAAAATTAAATTTGGTCTTTGATAGAGTTTAAGATTTTACACTTATGTTTTTGATTCATTTGGAGTTGATTTTTGTAGGGTGAGAGATAAAGATATAGCTTCATTCATATGCAGACACCCAGTTTTCCAGCACCATTTGTTGAAGATACTGTCTTTTCTCCACCGTGTATTCTCAGTGTTTTTGTCAAAAGTCAAATGGTTGTAATTGCATGGACTTAATTTTGGATCCTTTTTTTTTTTTTTAAAGACAGGGTCTCCCTGTAACCCCAGCAGATTTGGGTCTTTTACTCTACTCCAATCATCTCCATGTCTATTTTTTGGTACTATTGCCTTGATATTTTTATTACTATGGCTCTGTAGTATAACTTGAGATATGATAACATTCCAGCATTATTCTTTTTGCAGAGGATTGTTCTGCTATGTGGGGTCTTCTGTACCTCCATATGATTTTTTTTTACTTTTTAAAACATTTAGTTATTTGTGTGCATATGTGTGTGTGTGTAAGCATGCATGTATCCATGCAACAGAATGCATGTAGAAGTCAGAAGACAACTTGCAGGAATCAGTTTTCTCCTTCTACTGTATGGATCCATGGACACACACGTTGTTGTAGGTCACTTTTATAGACAGGCAGGACACCGAAATCTTTTGTGCCACAAAGTAGAGTTTAGTTTATACTGGGACACTCAGCAGGTATCCAAAGACTAAGCCTTATACACAGCAGGGAGTTATCTTTTATGCCCTCATTACATTTTAGTTTGTCTTCCCTATATGGGAAGGTATGTTACATATGTTTTTATTGTACTACAGAGCAGATGTGAAGGTGCGCACATGTAGACATTGATTTATGTCACTTATGTCCTGATCTCTCCCTCTGTCTGGGCAGCAGCAGTGAAACTCCAGGATCATCTTGGAGCTAGAGACTCATCTTGGAGCTTCTCACTTGCAGCTTTAGTACAGACCCTTGAGGTGGGCATCATAGAGCAGCTCCCCACAGCCCCTACCACAGCATCATGCACACATACAATAATAATTTTAAAAGGAAAAGTATTGCCATTATATCTTATTTTGCTTCTTTAAGCATTGTTTCCTTTAGTTTTTCGAGTTAAAAAGAAGGAAAAGAGAGGAGGGTTCATAGAAATTATCCTTCAGAATGAGCTATATTAGAAGAGAAAGCCTCACAATCATGGACAGCCATGATCAGATTTTGAAATGGGAGAGCAATTCAAAGAGATGAAGTATCACACCATAGGGTAGCATAGAGAGAACCTTCTCTTCAAATTCAGAGAACAAATGGGGAGGGTGTTGCTAGATTTTCACAGATCTTTAGGGAGATAGGAAAGCTTCATACCACATGATCTGGTCTGCCTATATGCAAGAGCACTGAGGTGGTCACTAGGTAGGGCCATAAGCATATCTTGTAGCTACAAAGGGAAAGACCAAATACAGTACAACATGTTTTTTTATCAACTTTCTGCTGCAGGGGGTGGAGGGGGCTAGAGGGTCTGTGATCTCACACCTTGAACATATTTATGGCTACTTTGAAGTTTTGTTAAATCTTCAGCATGTGGTTGCTCTCACAGGCAGTTTTTCTTACCTGCTTTGTCTTTCATTTGAGTTGAAGTTTCTGTTTCCTTGCATATCTCATAATTTTTGTTGGAACACTACATTTTAATTAATGCATTGTTTCAGTTCTGGGTTTGGTTTCCCCCTCCAGGTGTGTTATTGTTATTTGCATGTTTATCTGTTTAGTGGCTAGCTAGACCATTCTAGGGAACTTCATCTCACCCCCACTGTCCCGCTGTCAAAAGCTTCTGATGTGGCTCTTGTGGAATGTACCCTTGGGTGTACTCCTAAGAAGACGGTGGTTTTGGTGGTTTCACAAGGCTTCCTTGCCTCTTTCCCTGACCATACCCAGCGGTTAAGCTTCACTTACTTTTGGTTGATTGCTCTCTTGTCTTCAGCCATGTTCTAGGCCATATATCCTTCCACAGACAAATCTAATTAAATGTAGGATCCTTTAAAGCAGTAGTTTCTTAAGTCAGGGTTTGAATAATTTTCTGACCTTAGAAAGGCTCTTCTTAGCTTTTTATTTCCTAATTTTGTGTAGTAAACTGGCACAGGATTTAGCTCCTATCTGTGGTGAATCTACCAGCATTATAATTGCCCCCCCCCCAAACACTCCCCTTTTTTGGTACTGGGTATTGAACCCAGGGCATTGTGCATGCTAGGCAACCTTTGCTGAGCTAAATATCCAGTCCCTTATAATTGCCCTTTACATACCCTCCATTGTTTTGAAATTGAACTTTCCTGTACTATGTTGCAATGAAGTCAGTTCTTTTAGGAAAAGATTCTAAACTCTGCTTCCTGGCGTGCTTTTTCTCCTGGGCAGAAATCTGTGAGCTGGTGTTCTAGATCTGAGGACTTGGATAATGGTGGTTTTTCTCTTAGAATGACATCCCTAGGCATTCAGCTTATGGAATACAGCTGTTTTTTTTTACATTTACTTCTCTCAAAAGGAACCTTTGATGCTAGGTGACCTGGACACCATTATTAACAACACATGAGATCAAGGTAGAGCCGCCATCCTGTGAGTGATGGATCCTTTTTTTTGTTGTTGTTTTTTTAAAGACAGGGTCTCCCTGTAACCCCAGCAGATTTGGGTCTTTTACTCTACTCCAATCATCTCCATGTCTATTTTTTGGTACTATTGCCTTGATATTTTTATTACTATGGCTCTGTAGTATAACTTGAGATATGATAACATTCCAGCATTATTCTTTTTGCAGAGGATTGTTCTGCTATGTGGGGTCTTCTGTACCTCCATATGAGGTACACCCACCTTATGATCACACTTGCCCGTGGCTTAGCCTGTGCAAAATGAAGTTGGGGCAGGATGAGAAGTATGGCATTCCTGTTCCTCCTTAGAAGATGCTGAGGTGGAACTTAGAGACTCAAAAGGAGGAAGGACTGTGTTCTTGACAGCACCTATCTGGAGTGAAGTTTCTGTTGTGTTAGGCAAGAGGTAGAAGAAAGTAGATCATGATTCCAACACCACCCACTTACTATTCTGAGTGTTAGTAGACATACAGTGTTACTGTATGTCTTTAGAAACATTTCCATAGAATTTAAACATTGTTGTCTTTTTTTTCTGGTTTCTCTGGGGAGTAGGAGCATAAGACTCTCAGGCTGACATGCCAGAACTCTTCCCAGCTCTTCTCTTACTGGATTCCCCTGCTGGGAGTTAGAACTTAGCTATAGTCTGATTGATTATTATGGACTTGAGCATGGTATTAGTCCTACAGTAGATTGTCTGCAGTGATTTCCAGAATGATTCCTAACATCCCTCCTGTGCTCAAGAGGAAGAGATTGTTTTCCCCCTCTGAATCTGGATGGGCCTTGTCATTTACTTTGGCCAGTGGGATGTGGTATAAGAAATGCCAAAACAGTTCTGAGCTTAAGCCTTAAGAAGGATGAAGGCTTCTACTTGCTCTCTAGGAAGCCAGTACCATGTAAAGGAGAAAGGCCAGTTGAGAACAGAAGTACCCCACTGACTGCCACCACAAAGATTTGGACATTTGAGTGAGCCCAGATAGCAAGGAGAAGAAAAGGGCTCAGCCATCCCCCAGTGCCTGTCAGGGTCTGCTATCTTAGCTGAAGTCTCATTCTAACCCACTTCTCTTTGTTGAGGGCGTTCAATCTGGACAGAAAGTGGGCCGGAGTCTCTACATCATCCTCTTGTACATGAGAGACAAAATATCCAGGCTTGTGAAATCTCTCTTGATTTATACTTTGAATGCTTTTAAAGTCCTATGTAGAGTAGGAAGGGGCACAGGGAACATTTTGGAGTGGTGGAAATGTTCCATATGTTGATTGAAATGCATGCATTTAAAATGTTACATAAGCTAGGTATGGTGGCACATGCCTTTAGTCCCAGCATTGAGGAGGCAGAGGCAGGCAGATCTCTGAGTTCAAGGCCAGCCTGGTCTACATAGTGAGTTCCAGGCAAACTGGGGCTAAAGGGAGACCCTGTCTCAAAAGGCCAAAAAAAAAAAGTGTTACATAAGTTATATATGAGATAGAATAATATAAAAATAAAAGGTTTCATGTACAGAAAAGTATGTTCTTTTGAAATTCTATAATCTGTGATAATCCTATGTAATGAGAAGCTGGGGGTAGGCTGTGGAACTTACTCTAGTCCATATTTGAGGGTCAGTAAGGAAAAACCAATACAGTTTGACCAAGGAATAAACATGTCTGGGAATGTATGCTCCACACTAACATTTCTTTCTTAAAGAGTCATCCACACATTTGGGTTTCTCTCCTTTTTCAGGCTACTGGAGAAAACAGGTAGATCACATCTCTGCTCACCTCAGGTCCTATGCTCAGAACAACCCTGAATTCCGGGCCTTGATTGCAGAACCCAGAATGGGAAAGGTGGGTGTGATGAAACTTCCATTCAGAGCATTGTTAGGATCAGGCTGCCCTTTGACTTTGCTTGCAATTGCACCTTTCTTAGCTCCTTTCTTTTCCTGCTCTGCATTACATACTTTCTCATCTCCTCCCCTGTGAGCTCTGTCCTAAGACAGCATTGGCATATGAAGATAGTTTCAGGTCTGTTTCTGGAGCATGTGATCTAAAACACTGAGATTCTGACCATCTCATGCTTGGCTGCCATACACTCTGGAAGAAACTCTGGCAGGTAGAGATAAAAGATCCAGAATAGTTTAATCCAGCCAAATTACATATTTAAATCACATGCAGTAGTACTTTAAGAAGGAGAGGTACCACTTAGTAGTGCAGTATATTCCATACCAGCATCCTTATGACAAGCCTATAAACTGAGAATTACTTTTGTCATGCTTTTCTTAAATAGACACAAATTCTTTGACAGTTTAGATATGGCTGTCAGATGTGTCCTCTTGAATCTGAGTGGGCTGCGACTGCTGGACAGATAGATATGGTGGAAGTGATGGTATGGATATTGAAGGCCTGGTCATGGAAGGCTTTCTCTGAAAAAAGAAAAAAAAAAAAAAAAAAAAAAGAACAACAAACTACTCCAGAAGAGCACACTGAGTGGTCACATACACAGGGCTAGTCTACAGTCCCAGCTGAATCTAGTTCTTAAGCCATTGTGACTCAGGGAGCCTGGTAAATGAATGACTAGACTATGTATGATTCATAATTCCAGTCTCCAAACAGCTACCTCTAGTCGTGTTCAGTCTTCCCAGCTGAGGCTTCAGACAGGAACACAGACAGGCTCCACTGTGTCCTGTCTGAATCTATGAAGATAATAAAGTGGTAGTCTTTAATGGCATTGAGTTGAAGTAGGTTTTTTTTTAATTCTGCAGTAAGTATTCATAGGAAGTCTTATTTGACACCCAGGATAAGCTAAGAAAGGTTTGGCAACCTGCCCAAGATTGTACTGTTGTGTCTTGGGGGATTCAGATTTGGAACAGGTCTATTAGATCTCAAGCCACATGCCCTTTTTTTTGCCACAACATCACCATTACTCAGAGACAGTTCAGTGTGAGAACACTTCCTGTTTGTCACAAAACTATAAGGAACCTTTTCAAATCAGACCATAGGCTCCTGTGTTACAAAATAATCCAACACTGAATCTGTCTTGTTTTAAAGTATTTCTCAGTTTTCTTTGATGAGCTATTTTGACCATTTGTAAATTATTTGACCTAATCTGGAATTCAGCAAACTATACCCTATGGAACACATCTGGCCTCTTGCCTAGTTTTACAAGTAAATTTTTAGATATTTTATTTATTATTTTTATTTTATGTATATGAGTGTATTGCCTGCATGTAGGTAAGTACACCCGTGTCGTGAAATGCCCACGGAGTTCAAAGAGGCCATCAGATCCCCTGGAACTGGAGTTATGGACAGTTGTTAGCTGCCATGTGGGTGCTGGGATTTGAACCCAGGTCTTCTGCAAGAACAACCAGTGTTCTTAACTAATGAGCCATCTCTCCAGCCCCGCAAGTAAAATTTTATTGGATCAGAACTATATCCATCCATTTACATGTTAACTGGCTGCTTTGTGCAGCAACAACAAAGCTCAGCATTTGTGATAGAGAATTTATGGCCCAAAGACCTAAATATTTACCATCTGATCCTCAAAAAACATTTGCTGCCTCCTGTTTAAATTTGTTCTGCTACTTAGAGAGAAAGTGCTCAGTTATGAGCTCCTTTCATTTCCAGGCCTGCCTCCCTGCCCCAATCACCAGGACACCTTTTCAGAAGTAAAAACATACAGTCATGTGGTTTGGTTGACTTATGTCTCTTGAAGAAAATGTAAATTTGGATCTTGTTTTCTTATCCAGCCTGAAAATCTTTGCCTTTAATTGAAGTTTAGTTGATTTATAATTACAGAAATTAAAATTTGGTTGGATTGTGGCTGCTATTTTGTTCTCTGTTTTCTATTTATCTTATTTGGTTTTTCCCACTTTGTTTCTCTCTTTAAAAGAAAATATTCTTTTATATTAAGAGTTTAGAAATATAGAGTTTAACATCTCAGAATTTCTAAGCTATTGTTCAAGGCACTGAATCTCACACTCACAACTGGGAATTTTTTTCAAAATTCTTCTAAAAGCTTATCTCTGCTACTGTCCATGAAGATGGCTATGAAGTTAGCATCAGACTGAATTATAGTCAAGTTTCAAACAAGGTAAGTAACCCTTTAGAAGTTGTTTGAGAATTGATTGAACTAGTAAATTGTAGCTTACAGTTTATAGAAATACTTTTGTATAATCCATAAAAAGGAAAAGTTTGAAATATTATAAAACTTGACTATACACAAGTAATTTCATAGCATTACATAAACAATTGTACTAACCATCAAAGAGACCAGCTTTCAGGTACAGAAAGACATGGTAGGAACAGGAATGGTGACCTATTCTCTGTATTGTTCATAACTCATTGAAATATGATTATGTGTCTATGATACAAGTGACTTGGCAAAATATTGGAAAAATGTTTACTGAGTGGGCTAGAGCGATGGCTCAGTGGTTAAGAGCACTGTTTGCTCTTGCACAGGACCCAGGTTCGAATCCCAGCACCCACATGGTGGCTAAAAACCTTCTGTAACTCCATTCCAGGGGATCCAACATTCTCTTCTGACCTCTGTGGTCATTGATTGCATGACATAGGTGCACTTACATACATGCAGGCAATATACTCATACACATAAAATAATATTTTAAAAAATGTTTTCTGAGATGCATCTTAAATTGTTTGTTTTATATAAAATAAACCAAACTAGTAAGACCAGGTGGCACATATCTGTAATCCCAGCTACTCAGGAGGCTGTGGCAGGAGACTCTCAAGTTAAAGGCCAGCATGGGCTACAGAATTGAATTTGGGCCATCCTAGTCAATGTAGTGAGACCCTGTCTTAATACTAAAAATAGAGGGGCTAGAGAGATGGCTCAGGGATTAAGAGCACACACAAGGACTGTGGCACTGATTACAGCAGGAAAAAGACACGATTACTTTTAAATGGTACAATGACTGGCAGAAGCATTGGGAAGCAGTTGTAAAAGTCCCTGTGTGAGAAGAGGGAACCATGACTGTAGTAGTGGAGAGGAATGACTGACTGAGGAGCTAACAAGGAGGCAAAATGGGAAAGAGGAGGGAGGAGGCAGGCTAGATTGTATGCATAGGCAAAGTGTTCCTCATGAGGAACAGGTTAGTAGATGATTCTTTCTGATGAGACATGTGGCCCCATTTGTAGTGCTTGATTTTTTTTTTATTGGCCAGAACCTGTACCTCCAAAAGTCAGTGAATCTCAGTGACCACTTTCTCAGCAATGTCATTGAAGGTGGGAATGGGCTGTATGGCAGCAGGTCCAGCTTGGGTGAGTTATACCCTTTTGGTGAGTTTACAATAATTGACCCACTGATTGTGCAAGAATTGAAGAAACTAGTATAAAACTTGAAGCCCAATCACGAATCTTAGCATGTTCCAGCCAATTTATTTCTCTGGCTTCTCTGGAGTTGGGATGGGACTTTAGCAGTCCTTCACAGGACTCCTTGGTTCATTGGCTGCTGGTGAGAAGTGTATATTCCATTTTTAGCCTAACAATTGAAGTACCTTCTTTTCCCTCCTTCCCATTCATTTTGTAGCTCCTGGATGTGGGTAGTGAAAGATCTCTCCAGCTAAATTTAATCAAGTTGAAATTTCTGGAAAAGCCATTTTATCCTTGTGACATTTGAGGGGCATGATGGTAGAAGTTGCTCCTTACATGTGGGGAGTAGGGAAGGATCATTTGGTCCCACAGCTCTTTGTCATTTCAGTGAGTGACTACAGCTGGAGCACCTCAGATACCCCTGAAAGAGTCAAGATGAGGAATGTCAAGACCAAAAACTTTCACAGATGGAAAGAGCAGCTTACAGTAGGTGCACTTCTTGGTCTTCATAGCTGAATTTTGTATCCTGTTGCTTTAATGTTTATTTTGATATTTTTAATGGAATACACTCCCATTTCTGCTTCTTTTAATAACAATATATTTAAAAATATATTTATTATTTTTGTTTTATGTGTGTGTATTGCCTGCACGTCTGGAAGTGCACCTGTATCATGCAATGCCCTTGGAGGTCAGAAAAGGGTGTTGGATCCCCTAGAACTGGAGTTATGGACAGTTGTTAGCTGCCATGTGGGTGCTAGGATCTGAACCTGGGTCTTCTGCAAGAACATTCAGTGTTCTTAACCATTGAGCAATCTGTCCAGCCCCAGTAACAGTATATTTTATTTTATGGAACAGAGTCCTTTAAAATCTTTCAAGATGATGAACTAAAACTATTTAAAAACTCTCTTCAGTTTCCTGGATCACCTCTGTTTCCTCTGGAGTCAGTTCTGACTGCTCATCTTCCTCTGTCTTGTATTTGGTTTGGCTAAATACATGATGATCCTTCATTGTCTCATCACTTAACAAATGAAGGGGTTGTTGGATCAGCACTGGTGCTTGACATGAGTGCCCAGCATGGTTGCCCAGCATGGGTATGTGAGTTGAAGTTTCTCTGTGGGTGGATGGTTATGGATTGGATTCCCCAGAGTTATTACACAGGAGGCAGGAGAAAGCACTGGGGTCACCTGGATTACCAGTATAGAAGGTCTTCCCTCCGATGGTGAGGGTGCTAGTGGCATGTCCTCTTGTGTGGCTCAGTCCTGCATAAAGCCACCTTTGCTACCTCCTCCTCTTACCCTTCTTTTTGACTATCATGGTCTGGGCTCTGCCCATTACCCACTAGAAGCCTTTGTTGCATACATCATGTGCTTTCTAGAAAATAATTGCCAGAGTTTGAACAGTGAGCATAATCTTCCCTTCCTGCTCTTACATGGGAGAAAGAGGAAGGGTAACAGCTATCTCAGCTAGTCACAGTAAACCTTTCAGTAATCCTGGTGCCTGCGACCTACAGCCAGCATCTGTCCTCCTTACTGATTAACTTTCAGCTTCTGCATGTTCAGTTGAATAGAAAACACTCAGACCTCTGGGTCTTAGGCTGTTTTTTGTCTTTATTCTCATCTGCTTTTATTTAGTCTTCTTGAAATCTCTCAAAATTACTAGTCTGCTAATGGTAGGTATCACTTCAGGATTTCCTAAAACTTGAAAGTGTTTTTTTGTCTTTTTGAGACAGGGTCTCCCTGTAGCCCCAGCTGGTATAGAACTCACTATGTAGACCATTCTGTCCTCAATCTCATAGAGATCTACCTGCCTCTGCCTCCCAAGTGCTGGGGTTAAATGCGTGCACCACCATGCCCAGTTAGCTTTAAGGTTTTGTTTTTCAAAATCTCTACCATGAATAATTCCAAAGAGAGTATATTAGTCAGGGTTCTCCAAATAAACAGAACCAGTAGAATGAATATATATGTATAGAGATTTATCAGCTTAGCTCATAGGATAGAGTCCAAGTAGTCCAACAATGGCTGCACCACACTGGAGAGGCTGAGAATCCATAGTTGCTCAGTCCACAAGGCTGGATGTCTCAGTAGTCCCAATCTGGCGCTGAAGGTCTGACAAATTCCAAAAGATCAGCTAGTCTTCAAAGCCAGGTGTTCTCCTCTGCCATGGCCTTTTATATGGGCTGCCATCAGAAGGTAACACCCACATTTAGGGTGTGTCTTCCAGGTTCAGATAATCCAATCAAGAAGATCTCTCTCATTCAGTTAATCCCAGATCCAGTCAAGTTGACACCCAGGATTAGCCATCACAAGTCCACCCCTTGTCAACTTGATACCCAATAGTATCTATGTCATGCTTAATTTTCAAATGAAACCAATGTTGAGGACATAATTTCACCTAACGTGATATGACTATCCCATCATACAATGACCAATGCACTATATATCTTAGAGTAGGTGATAAGGTCTTCGAGGAATGCTTAGTCCTTTAGTGTCTCACAACCCAATATAATCATATAGGTTCACAACACTTAACCACTTAACACTTATCTCAATTACACATTGAAAAAAGAATAACTCAAGTATCTGATTAACATATGTGTATACATGCATAAGCCTACTCAATAGGACAAAAAATAGGACAAAAACACTCATGTCAGTTACAATCCACGTTTCTGCAACTGGTCACGTGGCCTAAGTTGGTATTTGTAACTACCTTCCTCTACTACCCATTCTGTATTTCCTCCACCATCACCATACACCTGTGCAGGTCTTGCATCTATCCCTGGAGGAGTGACCCATACTTTCATCCCTGAAGTGTCTGGGCCATTTGTTGTCCTGTCTGGATTGGGTTGTTGCAGTTTCCCATTGTTACCACAGGACATGGTAACACCAAAAGTCACCCTAAGGAATCTCCTGCCTTCTAGATATAATCTTCATTACCTCCATTGTGGAGACCCAGTCAAATTTTCCCCCCAGTCAATCACCCCTCCTAATACTGTTATTCCTTTCTTAGCCTGCTGACTTAAGGGCATCAGAAGCCCAAGTGTCCAGGGGGAAGTCTTAGCTTCCAGTTCAACGGAATGTTTGTTGTCTCTCCTGGCAGAAGCACTCCCTCCTCTGGAACCAAAACATCCAAGCCAGTAGAGTGCAAAGTCGAGGGTACAGGAAGCAAAAGCTTTCCTAGTGGGTCACCAGGGGGTGACAGTGAGTGGAGTCATTCCCACTTCCACCCCTTGATTCCTGGACCCATGAATCCTGGCTATAGGAGAAACTGTACCATATATTGGATGCTGATTCAAAGCATACACTGCCTTCTGGAGGACCCTGCCCCAGCCCTCCAGGCTATTGCCACCTAATTGTCGCTGTAACTGTGTCTTTAAGAGACCATTCCATCGTTCTATCAAGCCAGCTGCTTCAGGATGGTGGGGAACATGGTAAGACCAATGGATTCCATGACCATGGGCCCACTGTCGCACTTCTTTGGCTGTGAAGTGAGTTCCCTGGTCAGAAGCGATGCTGTGTGGAATACCATGATGGTGGATAAGGCATTCTGTAAGTCCCTGGATAGTAGTTTTGGCAGAAGCATTACGTGCAGGAAAGGCAAATCCATAACCAGAATAAGTGTCTGTTCCTGTAAGGACAAAACGCTGTCCCCTCCAAGATGGAAGTGGTCCAATGTAGTCAACCTGCCACCAGGTTGCAGGCTGGTCACCACGGGGAACAATGCCATATTGGGGGCTCAGTGTTGGTCTCTGCTGTTGGCAGATCTGGCATTCAGCAGCAGCTGTAGCCAGGTCAGCTTTCATGAGTGGGAGTCCATGCTGTCGAGCCCATGCATAACCCCCATCTCTGCCATCATGGCCACTTTGTTCATGGGCCCGTTGAGCAATGACAGGGATAGCTGAAGAAAGAGGCTGACAATCCACAATCCATCCGATCTACTTCATTATTGAACTCATCTTCTGCTGAAGCCACTTTTTGATGAGCATTTACATGAGACACAAGTATGTTCACATCTTTTGCCCATTTGGAGAGATCTATCCATATGCTTCTTCCCCAAATGTCTTTCTCACCAATTTTCCAATCATGCTCCTTCCAAGTCCCTGACCATCCAGCTAAACCATTGGCTATAGCCCATGTATCGGTATATAATTGCACTTCTGGCCATTTCTCCTTCCAAGCAAAATGCACGACTATGCGCACTGCCCGAAGTTCCGCCCACTGTGAAGATTTTCCTCGCCAGTGTCCTTCAGAGTTGTTCCAGAAATTGGCTGTAATCCCTCAGCTGTCCACTTCTGAGTAGTGCCTGCATAGCATGCAGAACCATCTGTAAACCAAGCCCTAGTCTTCTCTTCCTCAGTCAACCGATCATAGGGCACACCCCATGAAGCCATAGGTGCATGCTTGAGAACAGGAGGCATTGTAACAGGAGTGGGAACCATAGGCATTTGGGCAACTTCTTCATGTAACTCGCTTGTGCCCTCCGGGCCTGCTCAAGCCCGATCATGTATATACCACTTCCATTTGATAATGGATTGTTTCTGTGCACGGCCTACTTTATGGCTTGGGGGGTCAGATAACACCCAGCTCTTTAGGGTTCTCCCACACATCTCCATCCCACATGTCAGGGTTCCAATCTTTTCCTCCCAATGCCCTCACCTTTACTGCTGACACCCTTTGAGGCTGGGAATTAAATTTGCGTTGTAGGTCAGCCAAACGTATAATAAGGCCTCCAGCTTGATTTTCTGCAGCTTTAGCTCTCTGGCTGCTGGAGAGAAGATTCTCTTCCAGGGCACACTTGGAAACATTTAAACTGTTGATTCGAATATGGAGCTTGTCAATTTTATCATGAAGCTCATTGTGTATCTTCATCAATTTATCCAGAGATGCTAGAAATAACCAGCCAGCATCATTACTATCTCCATAATTGTTTCAAATAGTCTACACCATGGATTTTCAGTGCTCTGCATGCTATCTGAAGAGTTGGAGAGCCTGCTCCAAATATTAAT